GCCCCAGCTTCCCAGCCTGCCCTTCCTCCGGAGCTGGTGCCCCCGGAGAGGTGTCTGCCTGTGCCCGGGGGTGGGCCAGGCCCCGGCGCTTTATCGGTGCCTTTGTCCCAGCCCCAACAGGGATGTTTGTGGCCAGGCCAGCCCTCTGCTGTGTCTCCAGCCCGCCTTATAGCTCAGCAACACCGAGCGCGCACGTAGGCATGACTCAAGAGGAGTATCTGGCTTTCTGTGTTCTCTTCATCGTTGCAGACAGCTTTGATTTCTTCCCACAGCTGTTATAAAGGACAGTTTTGGAGGGGGGATTGGAGTGGTAGAGGGGGAGATGACAATACCTTCTTACCTTCCCATGCTAACCATCATCACCGTACTTGGGCTGTACGAAAAGAACAAGCACCCTGCTTAAGTGAACCTCCAGCATTGGCCTAGGTAGTTCTTGTCTGCTTTCTCCTAAAGATGAACAGTGCTAAAATCTCTTATCTTCTCTGTGATCGCAACTCTTAGGAAGCAACTTTTTCCCTTGATTATATTTTTGGCAGCATATTACTGCAGGAATCTGAATTGAGTGTGAATTTGGAATGTGTAAGTTGATGCTCTAGGAAGAATTGGATCAAATTTCAAACACCTTATTTGTAAAGCAGACTGGGACTTTTGTCAATTCCAGAAGCAAAACTTTTGATGAATTGTGTAATACTCTACTCCTTGAGCCAGTATTAAAAAAAACCCAAACCAAAAGAAACCCCAAAGCACCAAAACTCACAAAACCTCCTTTTTTCATACATTACTATGTATTATGCTACAGATAGCTGTTGTTTCCTTGGCTGCTTTTTATGTACAGCTATTTCAAACAGCAGTTAAGCTTAACACACCGGGTTTGGGCTCTTGACACTTGGATACTAGTGGAAGAAGGGAGATGATATAGCTGGTCTAGATATTGCCTCTTGGACAGAGACAGATGCAGCTTGAAATTATCGGGGAATTTTGAACACGTTGCTTCTAAAGCAGCAGCAGTCTTGCTGTCACATACCAAGAGGTTTTACACAATGGCTAATACCTTTTTGAGTATGTTAATATGCGACTCAATAGAGAAACTTATGTACATTTTAATTAATTAGGTTTTAAATTTAGTATTCTTTTGAGAGGAGTGCTTGTTGGAGATGGTGCAGGGAAGTCTGGGGACGGTTGTTTATTTGCAAGGTTTTAAGTGCATCTGATAATGGCTATGAAGTTAATAACTTTTTTTTTTTACTGAGAACATAGGTTCTGAGGCACACTTATATGCCAGTTAATAGAATCTGAAGAAATAATTGCTGTCGTGGGCATTTTCTTTAAGTTTATACTAACAGAGGTCCACATATTTGTTTATTGCTCTAGGGAAGAACCTGGAATCACATGCAGCAGGTCTTACACATTATTATATTGCATGGGAAAATTGTTTCCTTCTGTAGTATGTTGATAGGTTATAGACTGGACTGGTCTGCCAACATCCTATGTCTTTTCGTTTGTGGACTTGTGCGTTCCCATCAACAGTCCTCTCCTGTATCAGTCTGCTGTTTTGGGAGGCAAACAGCCAAAGCCTCTTCCTCTAAAATTGTCAGATATCCAAAATAGCACCAGAAAATATTTTCATTTATTGTTCTCTTGACTGCATCATCTTTAGCTGTAGTTTTTGTGGGGTTTTGTTGGGTTGGGTTTTTTTAAACAAAGTTTATGCCGTTGTCACCTACCCTAAATTAAAAGTGTATCTAGTAGGAATTTGGGGATCCATATAGTTACCATATGCAGGCTCCCGAAGAGATTGCCCTTCATTTATAGAGTGTTTTGAAAGTATACCCAAGGACTAAAATCTTCTGAACTTTTATAGCATCATAAGGTGTTTGACGGAAATAAGAAATTCTTTATTGACTTGATAATACGGTGTCTCACTGCACTTGTAGTTCATATGCCTCATGACCCTGTCTTGAATGTTGCTGTGACCTCAGTCTGTAAAAGAGAATGAGACAACTTGGTTGAAATACAGTTTCCATGACATAACAGCATTTTAGTCTGAATATTTTGGGATCAAGTAAAAAGATTTTGGCTTGAAAGCCTTTAAAGCTTTTTGTTGTTGTTGTTGTGGTATTTTAACAAGTATGCAGCTTTTTGAGAAAAACATGTTTTCTTCCCCCCTCGCCAACCCTCCGAGTCCTGTGTCAGCCATCTCCTTCCCCCCTAATTTTGAGAGCAAGCACTCTTCAAAAACTTGTCATTACCCTCCACAATAGAAAACAAAAATAGATGTCCGTATGCATACTCTTTACTTGTTTCTTTTCTAGGCATATACTTCAGTTGCAGACACTGAACTGTCTCGTACTGCACAGACATGTCTACAAAAGTGTCTGAATTGTTTTCATATTTTATCATATAAGTTTTTGTAACCTGTTGAAACGCAGCATTCTCTTAGGTTTCAGTAATTAAAGCAATTGTTGTCTGTGTTTGATAGTTGTATTTGGTATATCGAATCTTATTTTGCCTTAAATGTGTTTTTAAAACTCAGCCTTTATAATAAAAACAATTTAACTACCGTCAGTACTTTCATTATTGTCATCTTGCAAAGTAAATCTTAGTCATAAAGTTTCTGTGCCGGTAAAGGAAAATTCTCCCTGGTTTTGCTATGTTTCAATTTTGTATTTGTGCATGCTTGCGCTTTTTCTCTAGATGCTACAGAAATACGTGGCTTTGTACAGCAGAGGTGAAAACTGTATAGTTTAGTGATGGAAGTAATGAAGACTTGCTTTCAGTACGCTTTTGTGCATGCTTCAATTTTCAGATGATCGCTGAAGATTTTGTTTGCTCTTTAGATTGCAGAGGCGTAGGGATAAGGGAGAGGCTGGTCCAAAGGTCAGGGTAATAGCCTAGGACTTGGACTTGAACTGGCAGTTTCCTTCTCCTGCCACAGATCTTGCGTGTATTGTTGGGCAAATCACCTTTGTGCTCTAGCAGTAAATTTGGTTTAATAGTGCTATTCAAGTTTGTAGCAGTGTTGTGAGGTAGAGATACTGAAGCAAGTGACAAGATACAGAGGTGTTTAAGTTTCTGCAATGGGAAATGGTTTTGTTGGGCATCCCCTGTGCTTGGCTGACATCTTGCTTCCCGGTACTTGGTAGGTGGTGCTCTAACTTTTACTGTATGGACTCTTGCTCAGTAGCATGGGAGAAGAGGAAGGATTACATCAAACACAATTACTGGTATGTAATTTTTTGCTTTCTTAAATGAAACCATAAGCTACTATTTTGTGTAGTCTCAGGAACAGGAGGACAACTGTTTTTATGGTGTAAGATACTAATTGAAAGTGTTATAGAAGAAAATCCAGTGAGTGCTGCAAAAGGTTTAGCTTTAAGAACCCATAAACATTTTTTCCTCTGTTTCCACACACCCAAGGGTGTGTGATGTCTTGAGGTTTTCAAGTTTTGAGCTGCACTCTGTTCTTCTGTTGGTGTGCCTTAGAAGAGTAAATGTATGAAAACCAGGTTAACATTCAATTGAAGTTTTAATTATTCTTCACAAGAATATAAGCTGAAATAAAAGAAGCTTCAAACTCTGCAGAGAGTGTTTAATGCTTGATGATGTAAGTTGATTAGTTGTCCCAAAAGATGTCTTTAGAGGTCAGGTTTCACATGGGGGGGATGTTTAGAAATTACTGTAGATACAGTTTTGTAGGAAAAATTAAATTGGATATCATCCCATAGGAAGTTGCAGGAATATCTAAAAATCTGGAAGAGGCACTATCAATCAAAAACAGGGGTTGTGTTTAACGGGAATAATGCAAGTAGGTTACAGGAGAAAAAGAAGCTTCCAAAGCATTTAATATATTGGTTACCTATGGATAGCTTTAAAGAAGTCTGTGAAAAATGACCGTAAGACCAAGTTCATATGTTCTGTATTGTAGTCTCTGCATATTATGATTTCTGGATATTATGATTTCCAGAGAGTTTTGTGCCTTCAGTGGAAAGAAATCTTGAAGAGTTGGCAAATCCAAAAATAGGTTACTTCATGCATATACACAGCAATGTAAGAAGTGTTGTACAGAATCAGGCCAAATGTTTATCTAGCTACAGTGCTACCCCCAGGTTTTCAGAGTAGATAAGTGTATAATGTATTTTGAAAGGAACAGTGTTGTTGCACTTTGTGGATTTTTAGTGACTCTGAAAAAGCTGAGAGAACGCTCTGAAAACATGAGGAACATATTGTAGCAACCAGAAGAGCAAGGCAGAGGTTAGGCTTTACCAAGGGAAACAGAAAATGGTATAGAAAGACACTACAATAGTACTTCAGTTCTATCAGCTTTTAGTTGAAAAACTTTGGTTTGTTTGGGTCACTGCATTAAAAAAAAAAATCCCCAAATACTGGGCAAACAGGAATTCTGAGGACAGAAGACTTGGAAGGGACATAACAAAGGTGCATAAATATATACATCAGGTGCTAGTTTTCTTTCGCAGCCTAATTTTTGTAAGACTAAAATATGTGACATCTGCATTTAAAAACAAAAAGTTACTTTGTATTTCAAAAGATCAGCTGCAATATTTGCCTGGGGCGCTGTTGTCAAAATTAGTGCAATTCAGAAGATCTGGAGGCTACTGCTTGAAAGTCATACCTTAGAAAATTCAGCAAGTGATTTTTAAATGTAAATATTGAGAAGCCTGCATGCACCCCACTTTTTTTTTTAGCTGGTGAACCTAAACTAGCAATGAAGGAGTTTTGCTTTCTTATACTCAGCTGTGAAAGAAGTACAGAAGCCTATACAGAGGACGACTCTGCCTACCTTTATTGGACTTGCACAATTCCTATTGGAATTACGCAGTTCGGTTGCTCACCTGAGTAAGGGAACCAGAAGGACCGCTTTAGGCACCTCAGTTGAATGTCTCAAGTTATATGGAACAAATCTAGATCTTACGCTCCCTGTAGCCAAAATAAGCTAACCTTTGCAAGTATGCTGCCCATGGTGGTTTTTTCATGTTACTCTGTTAGGCACGTTGATGTTCTGGAGGGGTCAAATCTTTTAAAGATGGTGTGCCAGGTTGTATTTTTATTTCCAAAATTAGAGGTTGCATGCCAGTAGAAACTCGGGAGGAGCGAGGAGAAACTGCCTCTCCAGTAGGTGAAATACAGCCGTTGAGATGTTTGCTTCTGTGCGAAGCAGCGGCTCCTGACTTCCATCAAGAGTGGAGCTTAATGGGAGCCAGGAGCTGGGAGCCCCTGCCTCTCTCCGAAGCCATGACTTGTGGACCTGCTCGCCCCTGGTTCCCGAGCGCCGTCTTTGGGACCCAGTCCATATGTTCCTGACCCCTGTTGTACCACACTGGCCATTCTATAACCTGGTATGACAATTCTGATGTTCCTATCTTAAAAGAATTTGCTGTTTAAATTGAAGATTAAAGTTTTCTGTTTTGTTTTTTAGTCTTCTTTTCAACCTCCCTCTTGAGCTGTTTACATGGTACAAGAATTTTGTATTTTTTTTTTTTTTAACAGGACACAATGTTTGTGCGAGGATTAAAGAGAAAATGTTTTGATGGCGAAGAAGATATTGAAGGAACTCTGGCTGGTATTAAGGCTATTCCTTCATACAATCTTCAGCGGCAGTCACTTTTAGATATGTCCTTGGTTAAACTTCAGCTGTGTCACATGCTGGTTGAACCTAACCTTTGTCGTTCGGTACTTATAGCCAACACGGTACGGCAGATTCAAGAGGAAATGACTCAAGATGGGACTTGGCAGATGATAAATACACAGAGTACAGGGCAGGCATCCCTGGATCGTCTTGTTTCAACAGATATTCTCTGTCGTTCGTCTAGGGAACAAGCTGAGGGAAAGCATGTTCCAGCTTATAGTACTTTCAGTAAAGACTTTGAGGGTGAGCAGGTGGAACACAGTTCAGAAACTATGTCAACAGCCTCTTCAGTGCAAGCTCCAAGAAACCTGCAGAGCAATGTGTGGGAAATGGAGAATCCACAGGAAAATAAAGGAAACTTTCAAAAATCACTAGATCAAATATTTGAGACACTGGAGAATAAAAGTCCTAATTCTGTTGAAGATCTGTTCTCAGAAGTTGACAATTCCTACTATGATCTTGATACTATGTTAACAGGCATGATGAACAACACGAAAATGGGACACTGTGATGGGCTTGAAACGTTTTCTTCTCCAACAACTACAACTTCTAACTCTAATTGTAAATCTGATCTTAATGAGCTTGATCATATTGTGGAAATCCTTGTTGAATCCTGAAACTCCTTGTGTAGGAGAGAAAAAAATCTGTATAAAGAAAGCACTTCATATTGCAAAATAGTGTTAACTCTTAAAGTTAACCTGCAACTTGTAGTGTAATAATTCGACTTACTGTCCATTCAACTGTAAGTACGTACGGTAAATGTTTTTAAGTTTGGGGTCCAAGGCTTTTAAAATTGGGTTCCTTTTACCAATTTGTTTTAGCCTTTGATGGAGGATATGCTCAGTGAGAGGGAGTCTCTCATTGTTTTCTTACACTTCTCCCAGTAAAAATGGTAATAAACATAGAGAGAAGTTGGATAACTGGTTTCCTATTTTCCTCCGGTTTTCATTTTGTTACTCCACATAACTCATATCTGCTGCTTATGTTCTAAGTCGCTACATGGCTCTTAAAGAGCAGTATGCAATATTTCCTGTTCTCCTAGCTAGCTTATTCTGGGTTTTGCTACAATTTTTACTTCAAAAATAGTTTTAAAGTGTTTATTGGTGTTTAGATTTTTCCAAGTATTTTCCTAAAATATATTTTTACTACAGATGTTATGTCAGCTGCTAACTTAGTAACTTTTGATCATATCTGCAGTTGATGTATTTTTTGAAAGATTTTCAAAAAGGGATGTTTTTTCACTGTGAGCTACCCAATGTAGTTCAGTAAAGTGTATGTAAATGTAAATATATGATTTTATACTTTACATTAAAATGTAAGAGCTGTTTTCATGATTCTGTTTTATAGAGTAGTACTTTACTAAATTGAGAATTGTACAATTATGCTTTTCATTCCCCATATCCTTGAGTATCATTAGAAGAAGAGCTTTGATCCAGCTAGATACAATTACATTTAATTCATTTCAGACCATATTTTTTGTTAACTACAAACCTAAATTACATAGGTTTTTATTTATGTGTATTTATATGTAAATGTCATCAAGTGAATTGTTTATCACTGAAGTCTACCATCAAATATTTGTTTATATGGGATAACTATCTTGCACTAATTACTACAAAAAGTGTTATTAGCGGCCTTTAAAGCTCAACTGGTATGTCATGATGTCTTGTCATAATTAATATGCTCCACTCTTACCAAGGGTTTCCCTCTTGGCTTTTTTTAATAACAGAAGATAATACAACATGGGATGGTGTGCTTTTCTTCAAGTACTCGCATTTGTTTTAGAGTGTATATAATTAAGCTTATTTCTATGAGACTTTTTTGGGGAAAAGGGATATATCAAGTGCAGTGTATGATTTTGTTATAAAATGACACGTTTGCCTTCACAAGCCGGTACTGGGGAAGAGCCCCGAACTAGCAGCGAGTTAGAGAAGGGGGGAAAGATTGCCTGGTTTGGGGAATGTGTTAGCATTGGTTGTGCCAGGGGAAGACATCTGCCAGTCACTCAGTTGTTTTCTCTAGACTTGAGCCAAGCAAGTCACTGAACATGAAGAGAGTACATTTCTGTGTCTGACAGACTGCCTTCCCACAAGCAACCTTACCTACTGCGCACATCTTCAGATTCTCAAACCCATAAAAAGAGGAGGGGAGGGGGCGGAGGGTGTGGTAAGGGCAGTCCAGTCTCATCTCCACAAAAGGAGACCACTGAGCTTATGATTTCAACAAGTGCTTTAGAAGCATCTGGTTTGGGGAAGAATGACATCGCTTTGCTAAATTTTTCAGACTTGGTAGTTGAATGCGTATTAACTCAGTCACATGAAACCGTTGGTGTGAGTCTTCACTGAATTTGAACATGGTTTTTCTATTAAACTTGGACATGAGATAATCCATAGTTCCTGTATTAAACATTGCTTCCTCGAAGCTTAGTAACTTTGTATTTAATTATGAAACACCATAGAGATACTTGCAAGTTCAGTCCATGTAATACAGCTGGACCAAAGAAACAAGCCAGTACTACATGTCTTAATCAATAGAGATATCACTCATGATTGAAAGGTGTTGCAGTAGTATGTCTTGCTTCAGGAGGATACAAATAATCGATGTGAACTGTCATATCTCACAGTGACATAATAGTCTGTTTTATTTGGCAGTGTTTGTTGCAGTATCAAATTCTTCCTTCAGAATTTTAAATCTGCAGGAAATTATTCTTGATGCTTTTCTGTGTGTGAATAGATCCACTGAACGGACAGCAGATGCCTTAGGGTGAAGCAGAAAGCCAGGCAGTTTCTAAGTTTTATAAAACGAACATTAGCATTGAGGTTAGTAGTTAAGTATCTTCTGTCCCTGTGGGAAAGTTCCCCAAAACTGCTATGAACTGTGGTTCAAAAACCACAGGTTTGAACAATTGTGGGTGTTCCCCTTTGCTGCCCCTTGCCCTCTGTTTTCATTAAATGAGCAATTGCATCTCAAGATAATTAACAAGATGCTCTCCCCCGCCTCCTTAGTGTGCCTCAGTCTCCACGTTACAGGTAGGAATTAGTATAATTTGTTCACAACTCTGAAACTGTATCTGTCAAATGTGTGTGTATATGTATTTACATCTCTCTGTACCAGGCATCTAGCTGGGTGCATTCCTTTCCTGAGGAAGCTATGCCTAGTTAGAGCAATTTGTAGAGACTATTTGGCTCAACAGGAAAAGTATTAGGTAAGTATGCATTTATATAGTTAAGCATTTAAACAGAAATATATATCCTGTTTTATTACCTTCTTAAAACTTAGGTCAAATCTTACGTGTTTTTACATGCCTGATGTCTTGGCTCAAGTCTTCAGCAGGTGTAAGAATTTGTATTGCTGAAACTTGCACAGTCACTGCACAGAACTGATGTGTGCCTGCAACTGGTCTTGACTTTGCAAGGACCAGGCAGTGTAAAATCCGTTTGTCTCCCTACTGCTTTATTGGTGCATCTCCGTGTAATTCAGCTGCTCATTCTGGGTTATTTTCCAACTCTCATTGTCATTTCTTCACTAGTCCAAAGAGGTCTTAGTTAAATACACATCACTTCAAGGTTATTCCTCCAAGATACTGAAAGGTATCAGAAATGATAGGGTGCCTGTAAGATGGTGAGTTGTAAATTACTTATTTTGTGAACTGTTACCACAAATAGCAAGAGATTATACTTGCTGATGGTGATTTTCTTAATTTCCACATATAAATGGGAAATAATTTGACCTCTGTTAAATTAGGAAAGGCTTCTGTAAGATTTTGCTACTGGTTTTAGCAGCCTTTTTTCTTTTACGTGCTCCTAGGGAAAAGAGTCACGAAACTTGCACAGCAGTCAATGCTGTGTCTGAAACAAGGCTGTCGGTCTGAATGACATAACCCCGCTTTAGACTTGCACAAAAAGAAGTACTTTCAAGCAAATAGCTTACATCAAGTCTGCTTCCTTCTCAGGTAACCTTGAATATCTGTCCCCCTTCTGCCTCTATGCCTGTGGTTTTATTTCTCCTCCTCTCTTGCCAGAAAATCCAGAACACCTGGAGCTTCTGGAGCTCGGGCATTCGGCAAAGGCAAGAAGTGTGAGGATCCAGGTTGCGTTAAGGCTTGTGCGCATGAAAGCTTGTCTGCTTATCACTTCCCTGCTTGTTTGGTGTTTCTTGGGTTTTTTAATCCCCTCTCCTGCAGCTCTGTGACTTTTATTCAGCAAAAGATGTTGTCTGTGTCTATGAATGTAGCCATATTTGCCTAAAGGACAAATTCAGTAACTGAAGAGGGAATTGTTTCTTTGGATGAAAAGCACCGTTCCCGGGCCGCCTCGGAGGCGCAGCAGTGAGGGCTTTCAGCCTTCAGCAGGTTAGGGATTCACCTGCAAGTCTTCACACTCGCCAGGAATTGCCTGTTTTCAAAACTGTCCTTAGACTGCTTCTGAAATCTCAGGTATGTCTGGACTGCTTTAGTAGGCATTTTAAAAAGCAGTATTGGAAATTGACTGATAGGATAGTGTTATATTCTAATTATCAGACCATTATGGATGTCTTGTGCCTCAGAATATTGATTTGAGTGTATGACTGCTTTACAGTTCTGCAACTTATTCCATATTCCAGTATAACTAAACATACTGTGTCAAAAGCTAGGACAAAAAAAAAAATACCCATTTATTTGCTGACATCTTGGATAAAACAAAAATGCTATCAAAAGTGACTTCTGTTCAAAGTGAAAGTATGTTTATGTCTCAGGCCTAGGATGTGTAGTCCCTTGTGCAAAAAACCCATGACTGATCATGACAAATTTTCATTGCTCATCAGCTCTTAAATGAGTGTGATTTCACACTATGTGACTAATACTAAAAGTGCAAAACCAGCAAGTTGCAAAGAAATGAAATATACATCTTAGGAAAACATGTATTTTTGTCAGTTTGGCTTGTTCAGCTATAAGCTTTCACAAGGATTGCCTAAACTCCTTTTGGTGTCTCTTGCAAAGTTGACAGTTAAGATGAATTTTTCTCTTTTTTCAAAAGTTCCACAAAGATGAAATCCCGCTGAATAATTCAGGTTGTCAGGAAAAGAGATTGACTTCAGATGTCTGTACTGACTTGACTTTTTTTAAAGCGAATAAAAAATACTAGAATTTCATTATCTGACATGATTTTTGTAAGTTTGTATGGTAGCTTTTTTCAAAAAAACAATTACTCCTTTGTTTAACCAAGATTCCCTCAAAATGAGTGGTTTATGACTTGAAGAATTACTGTGGTAAATGTTGATGCACGACCCACATGTCAACAGGAAAATATAAAGCTGGAGGCAACTTTCCATTGCAGGGAAAACATTCAGTAATTTCAGCTGTCATTTTTTTTAGGGAAGAATAATTGAAGATACAGGTGATTACATGACTTTTGCAAAAACAGAATTAAAAAGAAATTGTATCCACATGTCTGCTGTATTTGGAAGTCCCCTAGGAGCATGTGGGAAGTGGCAAGTACGTACTGCAACAGTGAAATACTACAGCAAAGGAGCAGTATATCGTATTTTTCATGTGCCAATTACAGTCAAGTTTTGGAGATCAGGAAAATGTAACTTCAACCTCGGGTTGTGCAAGCTTGCAAAACAGGACTTCTAAAGGGAAGAGCAGGTATGTTGC